TCCGAATCACCACAGACAGTTTTCGAACTTTTGTTAAAACGCTGATGACATGAGTAGACCAGGACAGGTTATGGGTTAGGGTGACACCAAAGTATTTGACGTATGCAGATTTGGGGACCTTTTGAGTGTTAACTGTAAGAGAGGGGAGATTATTAACTAATGAAACATAATGGGGACCGGTTTTAAGATTTAAAGGATCTTCAGTGCACTTATTGATGCTAAGTACAAGGGATCGGGGCACAGATTATTCGTGAAGTTTATTTAGGCTGTGCTAGACAGGTCGAAAACTGTCTAAACCCAGAGGTGGGCAACCAATCACAGTTTCACCTTGTTCTCATCTGAACAAGAGAACTAGAGACAAACATGTCCCTACCCCTTCGCGCCTCTAGAATTATTTGACCTCGATTGTTTGACCCAAACAGAACACATTCAAGCTATTTTTACATAAGCGTGATTGTACTGGCTTGGGAAGGAACTCACCGGAAACATATGTTCGCCTAGGACCTGTTTTCTGATCATCAGCGTATTTGCAAGCAATGAAGTTACTAGGAATGAGGGATTCTGTATAAACATAGAGAACAAGAAAGGGGGAAGTAGCATCCTGAAAATACCAGCTTGAGCGTTAATAGAAGACGATTGTGTCCCATTCAGTGAGTAAACTGCGTCCTTTAGGGGAGAAGCAGTCGATTAGTAACTTCAAGACTTCAAGTGTCAGACCACACTCAAAAAGACGTTCAGTAAGCATTCTTCGGTCGACAGATCCAAAGGTGTTTGCATAAACCAGAAAAGCTAAGCGAGTGTTACCTGCACCTTTGTCTATGACAGAAGCAATAGATCGAACATTGTGGGCAACGGTGTCAAGTGTGGGCAGATGGGGTTTAAAAGCAAATTGTAATGGACCATAGGAGTTACAAAAGGGTATGACGGGGTGCAGCAAACCATTTTTGAAAGCTTTCAGTAACACAGACATGCAGGCCACTGGATGGTACTCTGATGATCCTTTTTGGGATTTATCTGATCCGGGCTGACCTCCAATAATCGGGGCTCATTCCGGATGACAAACAAATACTGAACAATTCAGCTCTAAGTATTACACACTGGCCGGCTCAAGCTTTCAACAAATGAGGTGTTAATTGATCGGGGCCATGAGCTTTGTCGGCACTGAGTCCTCTCAAGAATTAGAAAACCTGGTCTAGAGAAACAGGGTTTATTGACCCATTGGTTGAAAAAGAAGGTGGGAGGGAGCTTGAGACAGGGGCAGAAGCGAATGTATGGTTGAGTACTTCAATGCTGAGACAAGAACTGATGCGTGAGCTACAGAGTTCCCGTAAGGTAGTCCACATCTTAAAAAAGCTTTTATCAATTGAATGTTTTCTGAACAGGGTAATTTTAAATTAAAATTAGATTGCCCAGAAGGGTCTGAGTTTATTTTGGCAGCCAAACGATGTTGCTGAACATTATTGAACAAAAGATCAAGCACTTTTTTTATGTATTAAGGCATTTGTGATATTTCGAGAAACTAAGGAACACTTGTCTCAAGTGACTAGTGTTCGACATAGTTGTGGCTAGCAATAAGGATCTATTCCATATTTACGAAAGTAAACTTACTCTTCACAACAACTGATTAATGAACGGCTGTAATTTTGTAAGGGAAATCTTCCGTAGGACATAGAGTATACGGAGGCATTGGTAAAAACCAAGGTGTTGTGTCAATAGTTTGTGGCTAGCAAGATCTGATGATTGACCAATATCTAAGTCTAACGAAATTTCTTTCTTCCTAATTTAATTATTTGAAAAATATTGTGAGTCCTATTTGGTCCAATTGTGCTTGTGTCATTTGTATTGGTCACCTCGTTGCTGATCAAAAATACTGTTGGCTCTTTAGATGCGTAGACTTCATGCGTGATTGGGGTTGAATTCCATCGACAATTCTCACATTTTTCACCACTGGATCGCATGAAAGAAAAACAACACAGATGAATTGTTAGAGCCGAATGAGATCAGCAATTGCTCGAACCTATTATGCAGCTGACCACCAAATCGTCTACCAGACAACTAGGATACACAGCCGGCAAAACAACGTTGGCCTCCGTACGCCAGCTCTAATCTGATGGACCAATTTCTATATGGGTGCGGAACGATCTATGTTGCCGTGTTAAAGCTTTTTATAAATGTTATTTTCTTCAATGTGTACCATGTTGAAATGCAGCGAAATCGTCCTGGACATAAATTATGTAGTATTGCAATATGGTCTCTTCTTTTGGAAACAGCTTGCTTCGTGGATGAATTTTCTTTGTACGAGTCGCGGATAAATCCGCACGAGTGATTTAAAATGGACCAGCAGACACGTCAAGCATACTGACATAGAATGTGCATACACAACAACAACAACAACAAGTACTACTACTGCTGCTGCTACTACTACTACTATTACTACTACTACTACTAGTACTTCTACTACTACATTAACTGAATCAAGCAGAACGAGGTCAAACTAATTTTCACCCGCTAGTACGCATCCTGCAGCGAATGTGCAACGCACATTGCGTATAAAGCATTTCTGGCTTACATTTAGGTAGCCTTCCGTTAGTTAAATGAGTTTTGAACGCGCGTGCGAGCAATCCTGCATGAATAAGAAAAAGTCTGGATGGATTTTGGGCAGGAGAAAACACACAGAACGTTCGAGGATTGATTTCTGACGTTTCAGTTTAACTCAGCTCCACCCTAATCAATGTGTTTATAGATGAGATCACAAATCTATCAGTAAGATCTAGGCATTTTCCAAATAAACAGCTGTTTATCAGGCCTGTTGCAAAGTTAAGATCTGTTGCTGTTTAAACAATCAAATTCCCTTAAAGAACCGATCTATTCTTATATCGGGGACGGCTGATGAGAAAGTATATCCCTTAATATGATCAGTAATTGAAAGAAAACAACAACTAGAGGCTAAACAAAACAGTTTCCCTTCACAATTTCTTAAGGTTAACCATCCAGTGTGACAGGACGCATTTAAGATATCGATCGACCAAGTTTTAAACTGATGAGGCCAAACAAATCAAACGACAACTGCCTTAAAAGCCGTCGCCGTATTATCATCAAATTCAAGGTATTTGGACGGAGCACTTTCTTGTGGACTTTGCAGTATTCCTTAACAGAAATGAGAGTTGCCGATCTAAGACAGGTTGAACATGATCGGATAAGGAAGGCATTTCGATTGTTCGATGAAAATAATACCGGCTTCATCCCAAGTTCCGAATTGGGTAATGCTCTGCGTTGGCTTTGTCTGATCCCCAGCGAGCGTGAGGTGAAACTCTTTCAATGGGAACTGGATCCGGATGAAACAGGTTGGATATCTTGGCAGGGGTTTTTGAAAGTGGCCGCGAGGATCTGGTGGCCGGCACAAACTTTGGTAACATGTATATGGGAAGCATTCCTTGTATTTGACGATAAAACCACAGGTCATATCAGCAGTGAATTGTTGAAAAACATTCTGACAAAAGTTGGTCGAGAACCGATTCCTATCAAAGAAGCTGAAAAAATCATAAAACGTTATGGACGAAAAGACGGTATCTTTCCGTACATCTCCTTCATCCGGGATTTCACCAAATAAAAACATTCCAATGTGCTCCGGTATTCCAGCGAATCCGTGCCACAAAGGAATCAACGAAACGTCAAAGCGGTTGTCTAGTATGACTTGTACAACTACTGTCATGCAATGCTGTACAGTTTTTCCGACAAAAATCATAGTACAGTGCAAATATATTCTCTGTATATGAACTACTGGATTCCTACAGAATCCAGTTTGAAAAATATGACCTGATTGACACAAATAAAAGTGTCGATTTTCGAATAAATCCGACTACCTTTTTCACAGCCGTGAAGAATTCTGCAGTTCAAATTCAGATATTTGTTTCAGGAATACATTGAACACGTAGAAGAGCTGATGTCTTGCTCAATTCAAGACTAAATTCGACGTGAAAATTTGTTAAAATTCTTTTCACGTTATAGTAAATTAAACTATGGAAAAAGTTTGATGTTAGGTAAAGCAAATTTGTGAGTATTTTAGTGAAATTATGGTTCCTTCCAAAGTTGGATCACATAAATTTGTTGGTAACATATGATATAAATCCCAAGAGATAATTCTATATTCAGTCAACAACTTTTAGTGTGGATATCTTAACCGGATCTTGAATTCAACAAACAACCGAGCAGGAACAAGATGGAAATGGAATTGAGTTGTGATTTTGGTAGTATATTACTGTGTTAAAGCTCCTACACTTATACAAGCTAACGTAAGAACGGATCAGGTTTGTAAATGGAGACAGCGATGAAAACCTCAGGCGGCAAAAACAAAAGCGGAGTTGTCACACGATTTTATGGTTGAAGCGCAACGGGTTTTAGGTAATCGTTTAAATTTAATCAGATCGATCAATAGAATGAGCTAAGTAGATTGATTTTGGGTTCCAAAGGACTCAGACTATCAGCAATCAGAGAATATTCAAGTCAAGTCAACAGAAGCTTTCTACGCCCAGGGGTGATTTCTGCTTCCTTGATAACTACCCGAATTTGAAGTGATTTTTAGTGTGGACAAAGGATGAACAGTCTTCAGTGTTTTTTTTCTGAAGACCGCTGTGCAAGATAAGCGATCTGATGTAAAAGTAGACAAGTTGCATCATCGAGCGAGCACAGAATGTGCAGCCGAAAGACAGAAACTAAAAAGGCGTATTTATGTGCAAGCTTAATTGTCGAATAAACCGAAGTTGTTTCAGAGCAAGAGGTAAAAGTCGCGAGTTATGCAGCCTGGTGAACCTCCTCTGTCTGGTTCATTATGGTTTGGGCCCGGATCTAAAAATGCAATCACTCATGTCCACTCTTGTGCATAGTATGATGATCAGTTTATCGATTAAACTTGTATCGACCAATCACCGTTGAGTTCATTCATCATTCAGTAAACCTTACTGAACAGACAGTCAATGGCCTAAATGTTGGACTTTTAGAATGAAGTTCTCAGGACCGATTGTCAAACAATATTTTTGAGTATTTCTGGCACAGCTAAACTAGAGAGTTCACTCAGATTCAGTACAGAGATGCCAAAAGAAAAAAACATACATGAGAGTATCCAACCTCGCACAAATTGATCAGTTTCCGCCTATGATAGAACTGAGCGCAAGACGCGCACCGAGTTTGCCCATGTTAAAACAGGTGATTGTAAGAAACTATAATGCTGCCTCCCTTATGGTAGTGCACGAAACAAAACGAATGCTCACTAAATCCAATATGGACTCTTCACTTATTTCCTCCTGTGCTTATCTTTTTCAATGTGCTAGCAGCAGTAAGTACGTCAAAATAACTGATAGACAATTGTCTACCAGGATGGCAGAACACTTATTCAAGAGTTTGACATCTAAAGGGTTCCAGTTTTCGCTTCAGTCGCCCGTTATATACGGAATGACAAGGAATATGAAAAACCTAGGAACGCCTTTCGTGTTCTGATCCCCCAGAAGGATAGCCTTATAATACTAATGGGGCAGATCTCACTACCTGTTACAAGCCCCACCTGTGTAACCAGACCGAATTCGTTGTCAGCTTTGCGCTGCCCTGGTAGACCTCATTGCCGGGATAACGCTCCGTACCCCCGTGCCTAATCTGGTCCGATTGTAACATCTGGCCTCCGTTTGATTGATTTCTGTTCTCCGTGTGTGTTCGCCTGTCCCAAAGTCAGTCACTCGTTTAGCCAAACTTGATTTGAATGTATGAACGCAGCTGATGAGATGATGATCACTTAGTTGAATTCAACACATTCTGTGATCACGATCCTTCTTCTCGCTCTCATGAAAGCAGAAAGCTTGAGCTTGAAGGGTTAGTATTATTTTAAAATCAGTTCTTCAGTCAACAACCTCGTGAAGTAGTAAAAAAACAGTTAAAATATCAAAAAAACTAAACACATCTCGAATTTCAAGATTTTTAAAGAACGGCAAATATGATTTCCCCTGGAGAGCTACAAAACCAACTCTACTGGAAATTTCCAATATTATTGTTGAGTTATTACACCATTCGACATCCACTGATACAAAAACGTAAGAAGGAGATGATACCGGTGAAAAAGGTATTTTATCTTTTATTTGGAGTCTTATTGATGGCGAAACTGGATGGGAATGCGGAAAGACGTTTAGCGGCATTGAACGTTTGGTTCATTGTTGAGGTCATCTTGGGGGTGCTTATCTTCGACTTAAAGTTAGCTGAANGAAAAGGACAATCTCATGTAAACGGGTTTCTTCTCTACTCCAAAGGCTTTACCTCCCTACAAGCCAATCAGGGGAACGATTCTGTCAGCCGGCCTAAAGTATAAAAACTAATTTTCGCTCTAGCGTTGACAACAGCGGTAACCTAAACATCGCATGCGGTTGTACTTAGTCTTTCATTCGTTTCCAAGCCTGTGCTAAAGCTTCAACTGCAAAATGGAGTTTCTGTTTCTACAAGCTTACATTTTGCTAATTGCTTCACATTATCCCATGGAAAATGTACATTGATCACACTAGATGCCTCTTGAGTTGACCAATTCATGACCTTCATTCCACCTTGTACTGCACTGGAGTCAAAGTTCATCCGTCATAAGCGTTATCTAACCACATGTGGTAATCCTAACGTACGGGATAACGCCAACCACGGAGTCGCACGTTACAATTTCTAGACTACGAACCACAAGATAATCGTGCCGACCAAGCAGAAGTCGTGCTATCCAGACAGAAACTTTATGACGTCAAGAATACAAGCAGACGATTGGTGGATACCGGTACAACCAATAAACTTCCTTTTTGTATGTTACTATTTTTATTGCATGTTATTTAACCCCCTTGATTTTTTTCAATAAATAAATTACTAATTCTGTGGCCTTTTTCCTGCGTCTCGGTTACGGGAAATACCAGCGTTCAAAAGCCAGTGCGATGCAGCGTTGAAGTTGCGTCCGTGATTTGGGATTCGTGATTCATGATTCGTAAACTGTGATTCGTGATCTGTACCTACTTCAACTGCTACACCACACCTAGTTAGGTCTAGAGTGGCTCACGTCCCCCTCAGGTTAGTTAGCAACAGTCTAAGCGGATATCGCACCACACCTTGATCACACCGGAATTCAATTTGTATGCTCAAAAACGATTTCTTAATTCATTTTGTCTACTTGGGCCCTACGACTACCCAAGTGAGACTCGTCCAACCCAACTCTCATCAAATCGAGCATGGACGTTTATTTCGTTTCCTCTACACATGCGCCGTACCGGTCCTCCTCCCACGGGATCTTTTAACTTTATTGTTTAACCTGTGACAAATCAGTCATAAAGGGCGAATAAATAAAAATAAGTCTCATGCACTACTATATTATGTTCAAGATGTTTGTCATAGGTCTAATGGGACAACGGAATAATTGAACTTTGTCATGTGTTACACCAGATTCTTATGTTTCATGTTGATTGCCTTGGAGTAAAGTTACTCGACTACAAAGTAGCTTACTTTCGCTGGGTAAAATATTTGATGCTTCAGTGGATAGTGAAGTTGTTTAATGGTTCCCAAACATGAAGGTACTACACTCACTTGTAAACCTAACTGGCATAAGAGGCCATATCATCGATAAAACCAACCGATCTCCAACACCAATGACATTGATTGTAGAATTACTGCTGAAACTGAACGAATTTTTGCGTGTCATTCGCATCCGGTAACAGACCGTCCTATTTATGGTTATGCTAGACGCAGATCTTCTGGGGAGCAATACAGGTTTCGTTCAGGTATATGTTGCTTCCTCAGAATTGCTTGTGCAAGAATTTCATTCGGTTTGGCTCATTCAACGACAAACATCTTTCCAACTCCTTCCTCTACGTTCCAAATGCCTCACTAAATCATCCAATCCATGACTCAGACAATCTGTGTAGACCAGTGTTACTTTTCACTTTTCAATTTGAATGGTATTTTATGGTTAATTGAAGGGAACTTAATAGGTAGCTCTTAAGTTTGTCTGATTATGTCAATCAAAAGGTATATCATTTATGCATCATGTGTTTTGTATGCTGCTTTCAATGAACCAATTGAACAGATTATCGTCTAACTTATTTGCAGAAATCTAGTGAAACAACAAACCTAGGGATCACCTAATAGATGCTTCCTAATTCAGCTAACATATCGCTAGTGCAACAAAGACGAAGAATACGTCCAACCTCAAAATTCACATGTTCTCGATAAACAAAGGAGAATAACAATCGTTCAACCAAGTGAAAACAATATGATTCCTTGAAACGCCCGGGAGCATCTTAAACTACAGAGCTTCAGCGAAAAATGTGTAATACAAAATCGCGTAACTTTTGATGTGATCGAACCTCATCAGCCTCGTTCCTAATGTAGACCAAGGTGGAAAAGTAGCTAATGATCCTGTTAACCAATACCAGTTGTCACGTATACAAGGCATACCTGCGGGGTGGACAGATTACGCATGATGATAATCCTCCGGGTTGTGTGGGTCACATTTGGGTGGTGCACCCTTCAACTAGCTGCGCTACACTTACACGCTGACCTTCATATTGTGGGAATTTTCACATTGGCACTCACTATCACGCGCCGTCGTTATTCACGGGATGATATTATTTGTTTCAAACGTGCCAGGTAATGCTTCGATAGTTCAGCGGTTTGTGCGACTCCAATTTCTCTATGTCCAGATTGGACCAAAAGACGCAGGATAGCATGTTGTTCTTAATTGCACCACTCTGTCAAAGATGACTGTCCCGTCGTTGGTTAGCACTAACATTCAGTCCTTATTTCCTGAAATGTCGGATTTAACCAGTGTTCTCTGATCAAGAATTCAAATGAACACGTATGCATTCTATGTTCAACAATCATGGTTGAATGAGGATATAGATGACACTCTAGTGTCCATTGACGGTTTTCAAGTTTACCGGCTGGATCGTCGAACCGGAGAAAAAAAGACCACAGGGAGTGTTGCCACATATGTCAACATTTATTGGTGTGGCAAGTCCCATGTTGTTTATCAGTACTGCTCAAAAGTTATCGAGTGTCTAACTCTACAGTGTCACCCTAGATTTTCCCGTTTTACTCACACAATTTTGAATAACTTGTATATAGCCCCCTCCTGTACACAGTCCGATCGTATGTCATGTTATAACACCTTTATAACTTTAATCGCCCCACTTTTAGATGTTAACCTGCACATAATCGTTGGCGACTTCAACCATACTAGCACTTATCCACTTTTATCATTGGATATGACAGATCTCTGTCACTATCCCACAAGAGGTAACTCTGTACTGGAAAGAGTTATTATTAACCACCCAACCCTTTTTTTCTTTAGCACTTAAAGCACCTATTTCCTCCAGTGACCATTTCTTACTCTTAGTTCCACCTAAAGTTTATTCACACAGTGCATATAAATACTTCTCCCGATTTAAGCACATCGGATTTCCTTTTCGTAACTTCTCACCTACAAGTGTTTCTCTCCTGAATGAATCTCTCAGACAGGCCTCTTTAGGGTTTTCATTATACCCTTCTTCTCTGCTCACATGTGTCCCCCTGTTCACCCAAACAATCAATGCCATTTATAATTAATGTTGCCCTGTTCAAAACCTATATATGTCCAACGGAAGGATAAACTCTCCGCTACTAAAGTCGCTGCAACGACAAAAGGATCGTGCATACAATTCTCACAATGCTCCAGCTGTCAGGTAATTGTCCAGGCTTATCAAAGCTGAAGTAAATATTTTGAACGCATTATTCTCTGATCGAATTCTGAGGATTGGAAACAGCAAACACCTGAGGCAAGGTATAAGACTGCAATGATTGTAGTAGTAGTAATAATACGCACGGAATTCGGAACGCCAACCACGCAATATGAATTACAGGACCCGAATCGATAATCAGCTATCAGGGACTGGATCTCAGAAGCACTGGACCACAATGGCACGGATTCGCAATGTCCCACGAGAACGAAAGGCGAGGAAAAGGCCACAGGAATGGTAGTAAGCAGTTGTTCCTGTATTGAAAGAAATTAAGGTGAATAAATAGTATGTACAAAGGGAAATTATTGGCTATCTGGGCTTCCACCAACTGGATTGCAGTACTGCTTGCATAATCTTGTTTCTGTCTGCACTGTCTTGGATTGGCTGGCACCATCCACCAATGACGTGTATTCAGAAGCCATGCATGTGTCATTGACGTCAGCATTTAAACTTGATTGATCGCGAATGTCCTGAAACTGTAACGCGCCGCTCCGGGGTAGGCGCCATCGTGTTGGCCTGGATCACCACAAAGACTTCTTTTCGGAAGGAAGAAAGTACGGTCGAAGTTGGATGTGGATATTATTGATCTCAATGCCGCATTCCTGCGCCAGTCATCAGACATTCTTCCTACCTACTCGTCACAAAATGTTTGTGACTTGGATCCATTCTCATATTGTAATGTGGCAAACTTTTTAAATAGTTGCATTTCGTCTTCTGCTGCAGACCCGGATGGTTTACTTCCAGCCCTCTTCAAACTTGGTGCTGCTTTCCTAGTTGGGACAATCACCTCTGTTGTTAATGAATCTTTTAACACTTCTACCATCCCCGACTGGTGGAGGCCGGCCACAATCATAGCGATCCCCAAAACATTCAAATCTTCCATCCTCTCCAAAAGTTTTCTTCCCATAGCATCAAAATCTTCCGCTATTAAATGAACTAAAATGGTTAACCTCAAACGCCTTCAGTAGTCTATAAACATTACCAATGGTCCGTTACAGTTTGCTTACAAGCCTAATAGATCCACGTTGGACGCAGTCTCCACCCTTATGCATTTTATCACTAAGTCTTCGAGCAACTCTGTTATATCTGTCCGGTGTATTTTCCGGACTACTCTAGATCTGAGTCGTTACAAGAACTGAAATCGTTTGAATGCCCGAAGTAGTTGTTAGTTTGGCTATCCCACTATTTTACTGAGAGAGTAAAAGCCGCTAGTTTGAGGAGGCCACATCGAAACCCTTTGTCAAAAACTCCGGGGTTCTTCAAGGAGCTGTGCTATCCCCATACTTATTTTTCACTTATATTTGTGATATTCCCTGTGTTTCTCCCGCACGATTTTTGAAATATGCAGATGACGTCGTGTTGTGCCAACCCATTTCTCCTTACTCCGATCAAAGCTCCTTCACCGAAAATCTTGATCAAATTCAGTCATTCTCCTCCTCATCGGGGCTAACCCTAAACCCCAGTAGATGGGTTCAGTGATTATATAGTTTTGCCCTCTCCCCACATCCGACAGACCCCACAGTGATTAATAACAATCCTTTATCCAGGGTGAACTCTGTCAAATAGTTTTGCTCGCTCTTCATATCCGACAGACCCCATAGTGATTAATAACAATCCCTTATCCAGGGTGAACTCTGTCAAATATCTTGGTGTAACCATAGATAGCAATCTTAAAAATAAAGGAAATGTGAGCTCTAGTGCTTGAAAAAGTTATACACAATACAATACAATACAATACAATACGGCCTATAAAGATATATGTATCTCGTAAATCATAGTCGACTATTCCGATTCGCACCGGTTTCAGTAATTAAACCAACAATTCTGCTGAAGCATGAAATGGTAATTGTTTTTTGTCAAAACCGATCTTAATGAAAATGTCTCTCTTATCCTATTTGGAACTGAAACAATTTCAGGCAAGTATGGAGTGTGATCATTATTTCCGTTTCAACAATCTTGAGCAGTACTTTGCTCAATTTTTTGTTGTTTACAAAAAATATTGCAAATTTCTCCCTTTTGTATTGCTTACAGCTAAAAGGGGATAAGGTAATTGGTTTTCCGTTCTCATTATTGCGGCTTAGTGTACTGAAAAGGGACGGAATGGATTAAAAGTATCGATTAGCACAGTTTAAATGGACAAGGTCAGGCGAATCTGTCCACACTTGACTGAAGGAAAGTTGTTACTGTCATCACCAACTTTGTGGCATTCTGTGATCACTCCTAACTCGGTACCTACCTCATCAAAATGAAAGTTGATGATTTACAACAGTTCGAAATTGAAAAAATTCAGAAAGGGTTCAGATTTTTCGATAAAGATAACACCGGCTTCATCCCAAGTTCCGAATTAGGCAATGCTCTTCGTTGGCTTTGTTTAATTCCCAGCGAGCACGAAATTGAAAGTTTTCGGGAAGAATTAGATCCTGATCAAACTGGCATGATATCGTGGCTTGGATTTTTGAAAGTGGCTGCAAGGATTTGGTGGCGTGACACGACTTTAGAGGCCCATGTCACGAAAGCATTCTGGGTGTTTGACAAGGCTGATACAGGCTCCATTCCTCTGGAAGAAATGAAAAACATTTTGACAAATACTGGCTTGGAACCAATTCCTGTGAAAGAAGCGGAAAAATTTGTCCGACGCTATGAGGCCATTCCAGGCTTTTTTCATTATTTATCCTTCGTTCGGGATGCGATTAAATGATTGCGGATATATGCACCCGAGTGTTGATAAAATTGACACCCTCATCAGATGACGCTTTCATCAATAACACAGTGAAATAGAGGAACATATCCAACGACTTTGTCTAGCACAATTGACATGACTACTGTCATGCACTGCTGTACAGCTTTTATGTCCACCAAAATTGTACAGTGCAAATATGAACAACGTATGCATTACTGGATTTGTACAAATTCCAGTTTAAAAAGTACCTAAACGACGTTTATCAAAAATGTCGACTTGTATCACACAAATGGCTTTTTCCAAAAGTTATAAAAATGGGTAGTTATAATATAGAAACTTCAGCGCCATGAACTATAAGGAGAATTTAAATTAGATCTCCAATACATCAATCCATCCAAAACAATTTAGTAAAAGATATTTAGAAAATCCATCCGAAGAATCAATTACTTGATCACTGGAAGAAAGCCCTGGAGAAGCTAGCCGAGGCATGGTATCAGTAATTTAATACTGCGGTCCTGTTGGCGTCTCATGAGAGTCCGTTTGCATCAGAAATGGGATTCTTTTGAGATTTCTTCCAATGGGACTTCAATGGGACCAAATTAGGGCTCGAATAGAACTAAATTGGACGGGTTCCGAAAGCATAGTGCATGCTTACTTAAGACTAAGATACAACGATCTATCTGATACAGAACCTTGTTTTGTATCTAAGTATAATCGATCCCAATAATAGTGACTCATATATCGTCCTAATCAGTAAATAATAAAACCCACAACTGACGCTCACAACTCCAACTCCTCCTCCCCCCCCCCGATAAAAATAAAACGGGTAACAAGAAGGATATATAGGAATGTTTCAAGTTTAACTCACGGTAACTTGTGAGTTGTGGTTTGGGATTATTGGTTTTTAATAATTTGAGCTGACTATCCAACGGACTTCACCTTCACGCACAATCCTCAGTTCATCGATTCAACCATAGGAATTCAACCATATAGGAATCTGTATTTGAAAAAAAACAGTGCAGAACGTTTCATCGATTATCAATTCGACAAGTCTTCTTTGATACACTTTCTTCGGCATCTTTTCCGCTGTCTTGAATCCACCTTCGTATTTGTTCGCGTACTTTAACATCAGTTTCACCCGGGAAAGCCTTTAATGGTTTAACCTACATATTGGTGCATAGTTATACAATAAATTACGCTTACCGTGGCAGTTGCAGTTATAGCATATTGTAGATTGATAGCATGCCTTTCAGCCGCGCCTACTGCAGCGTCAAAACTAACTTCTATCCCATAAATATAGGACTTACAGCTATCAGGCTTCCCCACAGATTGCACTTCACAATTGCCAGTTTCTGTAGACAACGAAAAGTCTTCTGAGGAAACTCAATGGGTTCACTATTATAAATAGCGTAGAAGACATTAAACATTCCCAGTAAAACTGACCTGAATGGTTTGCGGATGATCCGTTTTCATACTCTGCGGGTTCTTGTGCAATGTTTATTGAAAATCTTGCTGGCAAACTTGATTTAACACGCTTTCGTACTGACGACCGAGAAGAACCATGGGGATGGTAATCGGACATGATGAATACTGGCCAGTGCCGCTTGACATACGCGTGTGAAACTAATTCATTGAAACACGCCGCCAGCTTATTTAGCTAACATTGAATTACACAAAGTTATCAACTTTTATTAATCAATTTATCATTCAATTAATTTATTTTTTCAGTTATTTATTTACTTTGAAAGTCTTTATATGCAGTCCTGGTGGTTCTCCCATGGGACGGTCTATTAGGGCGAGTCCCGATGGTAATCATATAGGACGGTCAACCGTCTTGCTGTGCGGACAGGGTGACGGATGAAGCTCTCGGGACGTGGTCCGATGGGCTCCTCAATAAGACGTTTTTGATCCCTGACCAGGTATAAGCCTTATCTACCATTTTCTGTCATTCCAAACGTTGTGACTCCATCATAGAATCTTTTGATGATCTATCCAGTGATGTTTTGGAGAAACCGTCAATGTTTTCAGAGTAAATGACCAATTTCTAAGCGTAATAGGTCTGCTCCATAGAAATCTCAGATCATGGCCGTTTACACACCCTTTTCTATCATTGTTGTTGTTGCATTGGCTCCAAGGCAGTTCCCAAGCTGGGGTTATATATATCACAGGCTTTCGAAAGAGTGTTGTGCCAACACAACAATATGCTGACAGATCTAAGCACTCCATGTCAACCCGTACTGTGGGGATCCCAGTCTTCAATTAGCGACCACAGTGACATCTTCGCGCTGGTTAAGGCGTTAGAACAAAGCATGGTCAAAGATGCATCTGATTGAGATGGATACATCCGCGTTGTTTGATATTAGAAGATAAAGATCCCAAAAAAGTAAACAGGCCTAAAGCAAGTCGCGTTTATATTGGCTGAACCTCCATAGTGCCACAGATGTTTCACTTACGTCATACAAGTAATTGACCATTTCAGCTTTAAAAAGAGAAGGCTGTGCAGCAATATTGCATGACTTATGCCCTGGACTATTTTGCTGCATCTCCACTGGTGCCTACAGCAGATCGGTCGATCGTAAAGCAACCTGACAGGTCAGTATATGCATTTTGAAAATTTTGTGCTAACTGCATGTATACGTGGTCTTGTTTATACCCTATTCGATAGGTCCTGTCGAATTCGAACTGACGACGCGATATCAAACAAAATCCGCTTGTTTCATAACACACTGACAAAAGTAGTTATTCCGAGGAATTTGGTGACAGGCCTAGTAAAGTAGATAATGAAAAGTTTGTTATTGCGTCAGCTTCTAAATTGGACGTCACAATTTGTCTACCACTAAAAGGTAATGAGTTAACTGATTGTAATGCTTGAAGCACGCACAGATCACGGATTACGAATCACGTATTAGGAATCCCGGACGCCACACAAGCACTGAATCACACTGGCACTTGTACAACAGTATCCCACGCAACCAAGACTCAAGGAAAAGACAAATAAATGCATTGGTTATCCAGGCATCTAACAATTGCGTGCTCGTATTCTTGGCGTCGTACAGCTTTTATCTGGGCCACACGGCTTCTGATTGTATGGTTCAGTCGGTCTATGGTTCGTTGTTCAGAAGCTGTAACGCGTGGGCACTTTGTTCTTGTCATCTGTGAAGCTTGATTAACCACAGGTGCCCAAAACTGTAACGTGTCGCCCCGTTGCTAGCATCATCCCGTAAGCTAGTTTCACCACACTAATCTAGCTCCTAAGCTTTCACAATCTACTGTTGATCGGACTTACTACACAACCAGCCCCAAAGTTGTGCACAAGACAGGGAGCATATTCGTCCCACCTCCTGTTAAAGAACGCCAACCTTTGTACTCCAGCTCCAACTTATTCTATTAATTTCAACGTGGGTGCTGTGACGCTTACATTTTGAGTGAGTTCTACTAATGGTAATGCCAGAATTCTCAAGATCGATGAGGCAATTGCAGTCGATGGAAACCAATTTTGTGTCAGCAAAAGAACTTATTCATTTCCCTGATTTTGTCACGGTAACTCTTCCCCATTCCAGATTGCTAACTTTGTATTCTTTTACCAAACCCTATATAAACATGGTATTTGTCTGCAGCAGGCACTAGTTTAGAAGCTGCGAAATCCTCCAGGGTGTTCCACAAGGATCCGTACTCGGTCCCCGGCTGTTCCTCGCCTTCATAAATGATCTACCCAAAGTTTTAGGTCCCAAAACAATACTGTTTGCAGGTGACGCCAAAATCTGGAACACGGTAACAGAACCAGAGGGCTCTCAAACACTTCAGGAATCACCCAATACAGCTTATCAATGGTCTAAGGAGAACGACATTGAATTTAATGTTTCTAAATTCAAAGTTATATCCCTATGCCACAAGCGGAAATTCTCGTATTTCCTCGGGGACCAGCGGCTACCACATACTTCTAACGAAAAGGACTTGATTATTGTTGTTCAAGAAGATTTAAGCTGCGCCAACAACTGTGCCAAGCCTTCGTCTGCTGCTATGAAGAATGTCGGCTTACTTCGGCGAGTCTTTGGCCGGTTTGAATCATCACTATTCCCACGTTTGCTGTCAGCGTACATTCGACCCTATATAGAGTACGCCATCCAAGCTTGCAGTCCATGGCTTCAACGTGATCACAAGATGCTTGAGTGTCCACAAAGGATGGCCACCAAGATGGTCAAGGGACTGCATTACCTGACATATGAGGAAAGATTGCGATCATTGGGACTATATTCTGCTCAGTACCAGAACTCGAGGAGACTTTATTTTTGCATCTCGAATACTGCAGAACCCAAGCCATCTGTGTCGATCGCTGCTGTTATCTAAAAATGTACACCTAAGGGGACATTGTTTCAAACTACTGATTCCCAAGTGTCGACTGGATTGCCGGCGCTAGTCTTTTGCTGTCAGATTATGCAGATCTTGGAACGCCCTTCCATCTCATGTCGTTTGAATCCTTCAAGCAGAGACTCGACGAAACCTTGGAACATCTCCCATTCGTACACCACTAAAAGCAAACGGAAATTCACTGTATCCTACATTCTCTATTATCTCCTACCCGGAACTCTATGTGACTCCTTTTTCGATGTGTAACGATTCATCTGTGTTAATATCCTATGGGACAAGAGAAGCACCAGCTTGTAAGTTATTCCCATAATAAAACTTTGACTTTGATTTTANAACTCGTGCAGTGTTGCTTTACCAGCTATTCTTTTCAAATTTATCACGGGAAAAGCCTAATTTGGTTTTTATGAACGACTCAGTTAGACAAAAGATCCTATTGGCTAGCTTTTTTTGTATTGACATGCCCCAAAATTGCATCAAACCGCTAAGATTGTTTGACCACAATATTTTGTTGAATCAGAACCTGGAAAGAATTTGCTATATGTGGAAGTTGATCAAATGTCTAAAATATTCTAAAAGAACATCTCACAGCCTGTGAAGTTGTATTGCTTCTGTCGGGGCAAACTTTGCGCTGTTAGATGTAAAATACTGTTTGGAAGCTCGATGGTCTGGATTTGACTTTGGTTAGATCGTTTATATTACGTAGAAATTGCTTGGCGAAAGAACATGATCTGAGGAGGAGGAAACCGGACTCCTCAACATTCTCTTTCTGTTTGTGTCTCATCATCGACTAATGATCAGATGGAATGAAAGTGTGGACATTAGTGACAATCAATTGCAGAATGTGGGATTCGATTCACTTACTTTATCTTCAAGTTTCGATGTATACCAACATTATATATCACTGCAATACCTCTTCCGTGGTATTTTCTGTCATTCACCACCATGTCATATAGTATCACTACAGTGTCATGTTTAGGTCTGATATAAATGAGGGAGCTCCATTATAGAATAATTCTGATGTTTCAGCCAATGAAAAATTTAGATATTACGTGGCATCTGCACGCAATAAGTGTGCCCAATAAAAATTCAATCTATATCTCTGCACTGCACACTTTAACCTGCGATATGACCTTCCTCAATTTTGTTGCTTGTTACTTATCGATTGTATCACTGAGCCGATTTCTAACTCACAGGTAGTTGCATTTTGATACTCAGTAATCGAAGTTTTTATTTCTTGGAAATTATGTTTTTACTTCAAGCAAAAATTGATGATTGTTTGTCTTTGTGTGAAATCTAATAAATTTCAATTTGTGCACAATAACTAAGAATGTTTCAATCAACAGGGTGGAGATTACCATCATGTGTTGATCACACCAGTTCCCGTCTATCAAAAGCAGTTGAGCTAATATTNTATTCCGATTACCTACTAACAAACCTTCAGAAATAGAAGGATACCGGATTTTTACTTAACAGTAGTCAATTATTTGCTTGGGGGCATCTAATTCAGTTCTTTAGCTTTGAACCAATCATTTGCTCTAATAGACCAGGAGTTAGACTAACGCGGTAACTGGCCAGATGAATGATCACATCACTCAATCAACCGGAAAATAATTCAAGAAGCAAATCAAATAACGCTTGCATTTGTATCTCGTGATATTTTCAATTTCATTATAAGCTCAATGATACACAACCTAAGACTTAACAAATGACCCTATGAAAAGTTCACTGAAAATATACTCAATGACATCAGTCTTCCTCGTGCATGTATCGTGACTTTCTTTGAAGCATGGGTTCTGCTCATCATTGAAGATGCTCGCCAAATTTTAACAATTTTTACAACCGATAGAACTGAGGATATAGAAGCGTTAGTCTTTAGGCGAAACTGATCTGCTGATTCAGTATCTAAATCCCAAAAGTAAATTCAAAGAAATATCGATCTTTACCCACCAAAGACCAAGCAAGACCAGCAGGGTTTAGTCAGAGAATAGTTTCTTATCAGCACGCCGACGAATTTCACCAGAGGGAAGCAAAAGGAGAATGAAATTTGCGGATCTTTCTTCACACGATGCCGAAACAATTAAAAAGACCGTCAAGATTTTTGAAGAAGGCGGTTCGGGAACTGTGAAAACAGCTCAACTTGGAAATTTGTTGCGTTATCTCAAACTAATTCCGACTAATGCTGAGATCGAACAACTGACCCAAGTGGGAGATCCACAAAATACCGGTCAAATACGTCAGACAGTGCTTTATCATATCATTGCAGATTTATGGCCGTCAAATCCATCGGAAGTAGAACAACGAGTTTGGAGCGCATTCCTTTCTTTTGACAAGCTGGATCAGGGTGTGCTGACATCAGAAGAATTTCGACTAATTCTAACAAGTATTGGACACGAACCGATACCCGAGTTTGAGGTGAAAAAGATACTCAAAGAATTTGCGGATCCGAAAACCGGCAAAGTTCCTTACGGTGAAGTTATACGCACGTGGATGAAATGAGAGAGTGTTAAGGGACACAAATCTTTCTGTGTCCAGGAAAAATTGACTTGACAAGACTGAACGAATTGGTAACAGAAGGTACTGTTAAAATCTGTATGATGCGTGCATATCTAATTGCCAATGTTCCATGTTCTGCCAGTACCAACTACGGAGTTCATTAGATTGGCATTAGTCACACAAACACACTCCGGTAGCGGTGACCGCACAGATAATGCTTCAGAGTTTAGAAACAACTCTGATAATTGAATGTGTTCAACACAATAAACAAGTGTTGATACAATGCTATTTTATCCTTTTTGTTTAGTTCTTTCTGTGGGGTACGCTCGATAGTGACATAACAAAACCTCGGAATCTGTAGATAATTGAATTTAGTTTTCTTGGGAGTAGTATTAGACAAATACTAGGCGACTCGCTCACGATTCATTAGGTCAACTATTCACACCATTTCGAAAAGTTGTTTTAAGTTCTTATTTAATCTCCATGAAATGTATCTCTCCAACACTTCCTTTAGAATAACAGTCAGAAACAGATGATGAAGAAACTGTAGGTTTTTATTCTTGATAACCCGAGGTCTATAAGATTTTGCTCAGGAAAATTTGAAGTTCACGGAAGAGAAAGAGCAATGTTCAACAAACCAGGAGTGTCAGCGATAATAACGTAGTATAACCAACATCAACGGAGTTCATTATCATTGAAGTGAAGCTCAATCTAATGATTGTGAACGCTTGATGAGCAGCCCGAAAAGGAGAAACTTGCCTAGAATATCACTTGAATAAAGAAAGCGTACACGTGAATGAGTTCCATTTGTAATGATAACGACGATATTCTGTTTCATTTCAGTAATATTCATGGTATTGTCAATAAAATCAACATTACCGAAAATTATTCGAAATATTCACGTACTTTTGTTAAACAAACATTATTACAAGAGGGGCGATGAACTTTAGGATAGGAAGTAATGCGAAAGTTAAACTGTGGTTTTGGGTTTCACACATCCTTCAGCGCGTAGGTGTCAATGATCTGTATCACAGATGTTCTATCAAGCCTTTGGAAATCAGTGTAAAATTCGGACAGTTCACAATCCAAAGTCTGATTGACAGTAGGATAAGTCGTTGATTTTTCTGGCCAACAGTTGCGGAGTTTGCGGGTGGACGACATCCGCTTGACTGTCCCCACAAAGCATTGTGTGGACGTAGTTGCTTGTAGATGAATAGCTTGTCATTCCGTGTTTGGAAACTTCTTTGGTAATTGAAAGACATAGGCGTTTCACTCGTCTGAATAATCCAATGAACAGAGCTCGACTGTCTTGACTTGATGAGATAACTGGCATTTTAGCGGTGAAGGTCAGAGTGAGTTTGCATCACGTGTTTGTCCAATTAAAACCTAGATGAATCGATCAGAATTTATCTGCACAACATAAACTGTGGAAAAGATCCAGAAATAACATTTCGCTCCCCTTGTACACTTTCTCATCAATTCAAATGCCCGTAGAAGACTTGACTGGTCTGGAGGTGCAACAAATCCGCAAAGCGTTTGACTTGTTCGATCGTGACAGACGTGGATACATTAGTTCGTCAGAATTTGGGTTCGCATTACGCTGGTTGAAATTGATTCCGACTGAAAAAGAGATTGCCGAGTTTCTGAAAGCTTTGGATCCGCGTCAGACGGGACGCATACGCTTTGATTTATTCTTTGCCGCGGCCACCCAGCTGTGGAGTGGGGGTTCACAAAAAATTCAGAATGACATCTGGCAAGCATTTATGCTATTTGACCCGTCATCTAGCGGTACGATTTCGGCCAGTAAGATGAAGAAAATCTTGATGGAATACGGTCTGGAACCGGTCCCAGAAAAAGAAGTCAACCAAGTGATAAAACAGTTTTCAAATAAAAAAACGAATCTGATTGAATATGTCTATATGATTCGTGCCTGGCAACAGTGATGAATTAGAAAAAAAACTAGAATAGCGACCCGCTCAGGTGAAACAGTTTCTGACACATTACTGTTTGGTCGTTATCAAATCACTTTTTATATGTCCTCGTTAATAAAGAGTTCTGTAATGATCCCGCTTTCATACAGTCATATTAGGATTTCATTTTTAATGATCTCAGGAGCCACCATGTAGTTATGCCATCCGTTTTAAAAATCATTGGAATACAGGACCTTCGTGTATACGACGGGTTTAACACAATGGTTATGAAATGAATCTTAAGTGAACTTCGCGTTGACTGGATTCACGTTTTCGGATTTCGTCCCGAGAAGCGGTTGAGAATAAAAACCCCAATCGTCGCTGACATTGTGAACGTTGGCTAGGGTTACTCAGATGAAAATCAAATCCTCGATGTACGTGTTTATGATTTTACTCCACTACGACTGATCAGGGAACGGTAAAGCAGCGTTTTACGGAATCGACTTTTGTTTGTAAAAATAGAAATGAGTGAATACTTCCGATTGCTTCATTAAAAAAGCAGAGATGTGGCGAACAACCTTGGTTTCAGTGCTTTATCTGCTGTCTAATTACAGCACATTACATAACACGGGAAACAGTAAAATCAGGGTTTTAGTATGTGTAAAATGGAAGTTCAGGGGTTAGGAGGGAGGGAGATGTAATAATACTGACCGCATAATTGATGATAATCCCCATGTGGACTGTGAATGTTCAACTGAAGTGTTAGGTGGGGGTACTTCGGACACATGGCCATGGGAGGGAAAGGGATTAAACGAACTGTTTGTGTGCACATAATGAGGGTTTGTTTATTCTAATTGCTATCGCCTCTGCTGTAGATAACAATCGAGCTTTCACATCCTTACACCGAATCCCCGTCAGTAAATAGAATGGACGGAACGACTCTCACACATCCACGGTATGATTCGTCTCGGTCAGATGTACAGCAACCGCACTTGCACCTGCCTTTATCGATCCCCAACTGAGTCAAGCTGGTTGGTGTTCTCTCATCCGATCGGCCAGGCGTCTGATGGTGCTACCCACGTAACTTGTGCCATAGAAGCAAGTAAACTGGTAAACACAGGAAGGGGTCATCGCCATCGGTAACCTGTTTTTTTTGTCTATAATGGGAGAACTGATTTGGAAGAGCACAACATCCGTTGAGAAATAACTATTTTCTACTACATTCCTCAGTCGCTCACTAATTGTCCTCACACGGGTGTTACCTCTGAAAGGCAATGAAATATAAACATTTTTCTTCTCTACTGTTGGGTCCTTTGATTTTGTAATGTAAGCCGTCATCCAACGGTCGATAAGTTCCTCTGGATATCCATTTTTTAGGAACGTTGACTTAACTGTCGCCAATTTATCATTCACTTTGTCAGTAGAACAAATTCTTCTTACACGATTGGCGATGCACCGGATTAGGCAGCATTTATGCTGCATCGAGACAAAACTATGATAGCTGTAATATTGTCTTGTCAAAGTACTCTTTCTGTGTATACTTCGTTTAAGGGAGCCATCCTCACTGAGTGGCGTGTAAATGTCAAGAAATGCCATTCCCTGGGCAGAGTCCATATTAGGATGTGCCCGCTTTAAACTGTCCAAAAACATTGAGGGATTGTCAATAACACAAATAATGTCATCAACATAACGCATGTGTAGGGCACACTGCTCGATACAGGTGGACAATGTCTCATTCTCCAACTTTGCAATAAATGTCTGCCAATAAGGGGCCTAATGGTGAGCCCATAGTGATTGCATCTTTTTGACAATACAGGCAATAGTTGAAATGAAAGTACACTGCAGAAGGAGTTTCCTTAGGCAATACACTGGAATTGAAATGAATAAACGGTTAATTATATGAGAGTAATGGAGGATTTGATTTGTTTGTGTGATTAATTCGTTGTGTAAATGAGGCGCGCGATGTAAAGCTCGGAAGCACTGGACAGCTGTTTAGTCCTGGTTGGGTCTCATCAGCGTTGCGAATCCATCAACCCAGCTGAGGATCGAACCGGGGACCTCACATGTAGAACGCTGGCGTTACATTGTGAAAGTTTCCAATCGAGTCACAACCCTGGAGGCTAGCGCTGAGATGAGCGAGGACCGACACTTGTAACAAGCTCGTATAGACGGTTTATGCTATATCGTGTATATTCAAAATGAGAAATGGTCTGGTTTGCTGCCCGGTGGTCGAGTGCGTGGTATTCTTGCGTTCTACCTCTCAGGTCCCGGTTTCGATTCCCAATTGGTTCGATGGATCCCAACTGCTGATGAGACCCAACCAGGTCAAAACAGCTGTCCAGTGCTTCCCAGCTTTTTAGCTGGCGCCACATTTACACGACGAATTCATTATATAAATGGTTAATTGCTTGATACCTCTCGTTCTTCACAAAGCAAAGAACACTGAAACCGAAAGCTAGGAGGTTAAGTTAGCTTTTAGAGGCTATTATTTGGTCAGAGATATTATATATTATAATTATATTTTCACAAGCGTCTGAATCCAGACTGTGTGCCAAACAAATGATGGTACAATAATCTTTATGAAAGAGAGACATTCTATGATTTGCATGTGGGCCGAATACTGCCAGCTTGCCTAAGCCAATGCAGGTGAACTCTCTTGAGGAATCCACAACCGTAGCATTTGGCTAGCCATAGCCTGACCCGCAAGTCAGCGGGGCGGTGTGCAAAAACCGCAATCCATGGGGGGCCGGTGTTCAGCTAATCGGATCGTTTGCCCTTTGGATTGGGTTAAACGTCCAAGGTGCTCAATACACCACCATGCCTTATCGAGCCGATGACCACTGACACACCCAGGAAGATTTGTGCGATTCGCACTCCTCTTCTTGGTTGGTTTCGAATCAGGGTTTTTGGCCAACTCCCTTAGGTGAACTATCAGTGGTCCACTAACTCGGTTGCTGCCCCGGGTACCAATTTTCGTCCTCTCACTTTGGTGGGAAAACACCACCACGAGAAGGCAGTGAGTGAGGCTTCCTCAGCAGGGACTATTTGAGACGCTTTGTCGTATGGGTGCATTTCGCGAGGTGCAAGGAAAGGGTGACCAGCCGCAACCCTAGAAACCCACCCCCGACCATACTGAGGCTTTCGGAGGCGGTCAGAGATATTCCGATCCCAACTATCGGTTTCTATACTATTTGTCACATGAGTGCAAAGTTCTGTGAAAGCTTTTGTTACTGTTTGTTCGGGTAATCTAGTTTTAACGTTTGTAGTTTCGAGCTTGACCAAGCACTTGCTTGGGATATATAGATGCTAACAATACACTTTTCTATGTCATTATTGTATAACTTATTTTAATAGGCAAAGTAAGCGATAGCAAAATAACAAGTCTGTTCGTGAGTACTCACGTGTTCTTGGAATGTTCCTGTGTTATGTTCTGCCTAGACGTATGACCGACATGAGTGCCTCTTCCTTAGACCGCAATAAAAACACGGGGGAGAAAACACGATTGGGGAACGACAGTCAGAGTGCATTCTATGGTATGATATGCAAATATAAGTGGGTGTACGGGAACGACGCGTTAACGCACCAATCAAATCCCTTCCTTGAAACCCCGATCCGTTGATCGGATGACAGCTGTCTGATTCGTCCAAGTCATCTGTAGGGTTTCTTCAATCGACAATTTTACAACTGCAGTTTTCTCTTCTTGCCTCTTGTTGTTCTCTAAGTTTCCTGGTAGATCCGTTTACACTGAACGTGGTCATCAAACCATAGACCAGAAGCACCTTCACCCTACGCTAATGTGACTAGCAGCAGAACAGGTTCAGTTTTCAACCCGTCCTGTGTAAGTGAGGACTATCAGGACATGGCATGCCTATCAGAACCATCAAGGTTCAGATATCAAGTAGTAACTTAACCCTTCGATCACGTAGGATTATTGTAAAAGCCAAGCCACCGCTATTCTTTTCCTTCTAACATAAGGACCCTTCTTCTCCACCAGACACAATTAAATGCACCGTCGAGATTTAACATGTATCGCCATTATTTGGCGATATTGACCTTCCAGGTAAAGTTTCTTTATTAGGTATTGCAACTTGATCATTTACAGAATTAAGTTTTGCTTTAACTATTTTCGTACTTTTATTGAGCTCGAAAAGACCGCATCGACAAAATTCCCCACGGTGAGCTCTGTGTCGCACGCTTGCTTTGCTCTGATCAGATTTCTGCTGCCGTTGTTAAAAGAATAGCTTAAACTCACTTCCAACATTTCGGAAGTATCACCATACAGAGTTTCTATAATCCCAAACCTTGGTAATATTTTCTCCTGGGACGGATATCGAGAAATAACGTGAGCGAATATTAGTGGCAGGTTCTGACGAACATCAGCAACTAACTAATCTCTAAACATCCAATCAGGAATCCACTTACCTTGCGCGATGCAAACGTGCTTGTGGTACGGTGCGGATCCATGCGTGGCCTGACGGGGTTTTATAAGCTCCGTCCTTAAATCCTGGAGCACAACGCGTACATCAATCGGTTGTCTTCAAGGCATCCCCCGATTATTTGAGAGATCCATTTAAGCTCCTTCTTGGATTAGAAGGACAGAGCCTCTCAAACAGCCGGACAATCTCTAAGTGAATTAGTCTTGTGCACTTTCATTTTGCCTTTAATGGTATATGCAGTATCTTTTCCATAACAGGTGAAACAAATGTGTTGTGCTTTCAAGCCTTTTTAGTGGTGGTATGCACGATACCTTGATATCGCATGATGGACACGTATCAATAATTCCATCTATTCCGCTTATCTCTACCTGAACATGTTGCGGGTCAAATCAATAAAATTTATACGGGAAACAAATAAAGGTATGAGGCCTAAGCAAAAAACAAATTGCAGACATTTATGTCTATTATTCACAAAAAGTATATCAAAAAATGTTGACTATTCCTTTTCTTCAGAATAATTCTATCACATGGGGGACAATGTAGCCCGGTTTCCAACAGGTACATGAATCCATGCGAAATGAGACGTTTTCGAGAGAA